TGCCATTTATAACTTTTCATTATAGCCAGCTGAAGGAAAGTTCAATTGCTCTTAAATCTAGATCCATCTTAATGTAAAATATAGGGATTTATGACTCAGGGATGAAAATTCTAATAGTGAAATTAAGATTATTTGTTATAATAATATTGGTAAATGAAATTTAAATAGATATTATATAAATATCTGATGCTAATGAAATTATTCATTCTTTTTAATGAAATTTATGAGTAGAAACATTAAATGTTTCAGGTTTTCTGCTTGTTTATTTGACACTGAATGAATTATTTATTTTCCAACAGTAAATGGTTTTACTCTGACACTTCTGATTTTCTTGTACAGCTTTTTCAAAATACCTGCATGTTCATTTTAGCGTCTAAAAGATGCATCTGTTGGTGTATATACAGCCCAGTTTGGAACAGTGGTTAAAATGCAAAGGATTGAATTCTGGTCATGCCTTAGGCACAGAAGCTTGGTTGGATGGCTTTAGCCACTCTCTTTCAATCCAATCCACCTCACAGGGGGGTTATTGCAAGAAAAATAGGTTCTAGGGTCTTTCTGTATATCATTGTAAATGAAGTAAATAATAGTGGGATATAAATTTAATATTAAAATAAGAATATGTCCTGCCTCTAATTATGAAGAGGTGATCAACAGACTTCGCGGAGGTAGAAAGAATCTAGTAGGCCCCACTTCCCTATAAATTCTTCTAGCATTTTCATGCACTGTTTTTAAATGTGTGGTTCAAAGCATGCTAAATGTCGAATATATGAAGGTTTGTGAAAATAATCTCATTGGAAGTTTGTTCCATGGTAACAAATAATGCATTCATTTTTTAAAAAAGGGCATTATCCCATCAATTTTAGCTTCATAATATCTTGCTGAATCACAGCCTCAGTCTTGAAAAAAATAGCAATAAAGAGGAGACACTAAGCTTGGCATTCTTGTCAGGATTCAAAAGTTTCCATTGTTATTGCAGAATTGCCTGCCATGTGAAAAGTTGTTAAATTTTAATTGCATGTCACTCCAGTGAAACTTATATGGCAGACTTGCTGACTAAACATTTGAAAGGGTTGCTCTTGTAATAAAGATGTGGTATCAGTGCTGACGTTCAGATAAAGGTTTTTCAGGTACTACTTTTCTGTTTCTCACTACTGGATATTGTGTCAGTTTCAATCTCTTCTCTGAGTACTATATGCTATGCTATGATCACAGAGTTGAACCACAACAGTAAATGTCCTTGTCTGTGTCCCATTGTTTTCACTCCTTCCAACCTGACACAATGTTGGAAATAAATAATGTATAAGAGCTCAGAGCTCTGTTCCCCTGCAAGAGAACTAGGACCTAATTTATGTATACATATTTTAAAAATGATTTACTCTGGTCTTGGGCCTGAAGAGGGGAAAATAATCTCCTAGTGCAATGGTTCTCAACCTTCCTAATGCCACGACCCTTTAATACAGTTCCTCATGTTGTGGTGACCCCCAACCATAAAATTATTTTCGTTGCTACTTCATAACTGTAATTTTGCTACTGTTATGAATTGTAATGTAAATAATAAATAACAGTAGCTTTAATAATACAAAATATGATACATGGCATAGTTCAGTCAATACAGTTCATTTAAGTTTCCTATGATTTACCATTCTCTGTTGTTTTTTTAACATACCTGTTACTATCACAAGGGGGCAGTATTCACATCAACCACAGCTGAATATAAAAAGACTGATCAGCATCCAGATTAAGTTCCCATGGTACAGATATTTTTTTTTGCAATACTTGATGATTTAACAGTACATGATTTTACATTTATCCAGTAATTATAATTCATGAAGTGTCGTTTTACCTCCAATAGTGTGCTTTCAACACAGTAGCTGCTTTCAACACAGCAGCTGCTTTCTACACAGTAGCTGCTCTCTATACATGTGTGACTGGTCTGCATAAGTACATTATGATGCCAACCCTGTCACATACACCTGTATTTGTACGGGGTGTATGTGATGGGGTTGGCACAATGATGTCATCATGCTGGGTAGTCGTATGTGGGCGTATGTGCATGTGGGCGTATCTGGAGAAGGATAGAGGAGTGATGTCTCGGTTCCTAAGACCATCGAAAATAGGTGTTTTCTGATGGTCTTAGGCGACCCGTGACAGGGTCGTTCGACCCCCAAGGGGGTTGCAACCCATAGGTTGAGAACCTCTGTCCTAGAGTATCCCTAACATAATTGGGCAGCAGCGCCAGAATGCTGTTGGCTTTTCTAATTCTATACCCCTGCATTCCTTCCAGTCGCATTGCCTAGTTCTCTGTCATAGGATTGCTGTTAGAAAGGAAAAATCAGGTCACTGTGATTTGATCCAAATCTATGTGATATAAAGATATGTTCTTCATGTTTTTTCTAATTTGTTATTCTTTTCAGTTCAACAAAATTATTGTTCAACATTCCAAAACTGAATAAACAGGACCAGATTTTGTGTGGGGCAAGAAACTGGCAGACTAGTAAATTTGAAAATAGGCCAGATCAAGCAAACAAACAAAAGAAAAATCCTGACGAAAAAAATAAAAACACATCTTCGGATCACACTGTTGGATAATGTCTCATAGAATAGTTAATACTTTAAGCCATCTTTAATATGCCTCCTTCTTTCCTGATGACCTCTAAGGGTGGAATTTTTATTAAAATGCTGAATTAGGATTCATGCTTTCTCATATTTATGTGAAAATGGGAATAACATACAGAGAAAATCCTTTTGCAAAGGTACCAGTGCTCCCCACCCCCAGTCAGAGCCTGTACAGTGACTTGTTGTAAACAAGTAGACTTACAGCATTTGAGTCCATTTTTTTTTGTTTCCAAATGAGATATTTGTTAAGTGAATTTGCCCCATTTTACGAGCTTGCTTGCTAAAGTTGTTAAGTGAATCACTGCAGGTATTAAGTTAGTAACATAGTTGTTAAGTGAGCTTCCCCATTGACTTTGCTTGTCAGAAGGTGATCATATGAGCCCAGGACACTGCAACCATCATACATATGAGTCAGTTGCCAAGTGTCTGAATTTTGATTATGTGACCATGGGAATGCTGCAATGGTCATAAGTATGAAAAATGGTCTTATGTCATTTTTTTTTCAATTGTAACTTTAAATGGTCACTATATTGTTTTAAGTCAAGGATTATCTGTATTGTATTTCCATAGATTTTATATTGAAACAACAATATCTGGCCTCCTATGTGTTAATGTGAGAGATGTTGCTTGTTTTTTTTTAAATGGGTGAGATTATGAAATAGCTTCATTTAGAAATACATTTAATAAAACATTGCTGTTTTTATGTACCATTCTTTCTAAATTACAAGTGTTATACTTCTAAATGTATAAGTAAAATGTAGTAAAATATTTTTAGTGGTGATTGAAATAGAAATATCTCACTTTAAAGGCTTTCAGTTCTTAAGAAATGTTAGGTTTTCCCAGTTTTTTTGAAAGAGAAATGTATAAATGTTACAATTCTTTTAAAATAATTAAAAATGCCACAACTTTTTTCAGATGTGTGTGGCTACTTTAATAGCTGCTACTTGTATGCATACATCACCACTTTCCTTTGCTTTCATATGTGATTATGATAACTTGAGATTTCAAGTTACCTTTACCTTATTATTTGATCCTGAACTGTTGCAAAAAGAGAAATAAATTCTTTCATTAATAGGATTTAAAATACAATCTTAAGACACCGTGGAAATGTACATTTATCACAAATATGCATCAGCTTGCAGTCTTTGATTAAAAGATTCCCTGCACATTAAACATTATGAATGTGGGGCAATTAATTACTTTGAGTTAAATCTTTAGAGTTGGATTTTGGCTAAGTCAAACTTTAGTTGAAATAGAAATTATGGAATACTATTTGTTTGTTTTCTTACAGCCCATACGACATTTGAAATATTCTCCCTTTAAGAAAGCATTACTGGGTAGCGTCTCTGACAGTGGAACTGTAACCCTATGGGATGTCAACAGTCAAACTCCGTACCATAACTTTGAAAATGCTCATAAAGCTCCAGCTTATGAAATCTGTTTTTCTCCCATCAGTGAATTGCTGCTTGTAACTGTAGGTCTAGATAAAAGAATAATTCTCTACGACACAGCAAGTAAAAGGTAAATATATACTTGTCAGATTCAGCTAGACAGTTGATAGTGAGATGGCCTGCCAATGTATAATAAATAATAAATTTATATTAAATAAATAATATCAAAAAGTAAATTAAATCTATGTTTGAAAATGTTTTTAGAATGTTTTTCATATATAAAAATCTTGTTTGCTTAAGTAAAGATAAAGTGATGAAACCTGAAGATGATTACTCATATGTCAAATCTTCTTGAATTTAGAGTTCTCTGCAATTCATTATTAGATAGATTAAATCAAATAGGAAAAGTGGAGAAAATCAGTGTTGATGCCCTGAAATTTATTATTTATTTTACTGTCTCAGACAATTAAAACCTTAAATCTGTTTTTTTATTATAAACCTATAATAATTGGAGTGTTTGAAAAGAAAATCTAGGCAGAAGCCACAAATACGGTATAGGATGTTGATTCCGAGAATTCAATTTGCTATGCCACATACTTGAATTTGACTAGAATGATGACCTTTGTGTGTTAATTTTATGTATAAATATTTAAATATAAGATGAATAAATAATGAAACTTAAAAGATAAAATGGGCATACTGGTAGATAATCATTTATCAGGAAAATGTGTTTCTCAAATCTTATTTTGGTCTGAAGCCTACTGAATAATCTTGGGTCAGATGTACAGATGTAACCAGATCAAACCCAACAGAAAACTCAGTAAGATAAAAGTTTTTATTTAAAAAATTGTATGTAAGATTCTTATGGATTTCCCCCCTCCTTTTGTGTTCAATATCTTTATTTGACATATAAAGGCAGTTGAGAACTTTAGTAGCAGAAACTCCTCTAACTGCAGTAGAATTCATGCCTGAAGGAACTTCACTCACTATTGGCTCTTCTCGTGGAAAAATATATCATTATGATTTAAGAAAGCTGACAGCACCTGTGAAATCAGTCAGTGCTCACAAAACATCTGTGAAATGCATAACACTGCAGAATTATAACAGTTTTTCAAAGGTAAAACACCTTGTGCATATTGATAAAATGTTGATTAAGAAAAGAAAACTAAATATTTTCCATTTATAGTAAATCAATAAAGAAATCATGCATATTTATTAAGTTTTGAATTGTGTTTATGTTTTAATTGTGTTCAAGCTGTACAGTTTTTATGTTTACAAAATGGCTGTAATTTCCAATCATACTGGTTTGACATTTAGCTTGAAAATTATTTGTTTGAATGCTTTATTTTTACAAGGATTAAAAATGTCAGGATAGTTGATGCTAGCATTCTAGTCATAGCTGTAGATAACTTTTTTAATTTGGAATATTTCTGACATACTTATTTTTATTTTTAGTCTAGTCATAAAACAGGTTCAAGTAAACAAACTTGCAAAAAAGGAATTCAGAATGTTGGTATTTTAAAAAATCTTACATCTAATGTACCTACTACTTTCCTGCCCCAGTCCATGCCAAGTAATGAAGTTAAAGGAAGTGATGCTATTCCAGATAAATCAGGTAAAAAAAGGAATTTGAAAGCTGTTGAAAAAAAAAATCCTGTTACGGAAAAAGTGCTAAAGAATCAATATAAGTTCTTATTTCATTGTTTTGTTTTAACATTTCTGTAACCCCGCTGAAATGTTTTTGTTGTACAAAGTTGTTCACTCTAGCAAGGGCTGTGATTTTTCCCCCTGGCAAAAAAGCTGGGCTATGATAAAAAAAATTATCATCTTGGGGCCAGGGAAAACAGCATATGCTTAAAACTGATATACAATGTGGCATTGCTGTTGAATTCGGACAAGAAATTTGGCCTATCCAGAGGCTATTGCAGGGCTGTTAACTCAAGAACTATGTAGTAACCTGATTTTATCTTTTCATCTTTGCTGAAGATCTTCATAAACCCAGACTTATTTAGGCAAACATAGTGCATAGCTCTGCAGAATTGAACTATACAATGTCTTCAGATGTGCTTCCCCCCCTGTATATGTGTGTGTGTGTGTGAGAGAGAGAGAGAGAAAGAGAGAGAGAGAGAGAGAGAGAGAGCGCATAACACCAGAGTAATAGAGTATGACCCTTTTCTATGTCTGCTATTCCCAGCATTATTTATTTCAATATTTTAAAAAATCATGTAATAATTTATCTGTGGGGACAAGAAGCAATGGGTGGAAACTAATCAAGGAGAGAAGCAACCTAGAACAAAGAAGAAATTTCCTGACAGTTAGAACAATTAATCAGTGGAACAACTTGCCTCCAGAAGTTGTGAATGCTCCACCACTGGAAGTTATTAAGAAGAGACTAGATAACCATTTGTCTGAAGTGGTGTAGGGTTTCCTGCCTAAGCAGGGTTTTGGACTACAAGACCTCCAAAGTGCCTTTCCAGCTCTGTTTATTCCATTCTATTCCCTTTCTTTTTGAAAATTGCATGTCTTTCTTTTTAAAGATAACTGTATATAGAATTTGCATAAAACAATATAACAAAATTCTGATTTTGACATTGTGGTCAATTTTAAAAATCCTTTTCATTGTGCCATTCTAGGCAATGGCTAGAAACAAAAAGTTGTAGACTTCTGGATGCTTATGGAATCTACTGGGCATTTTTAAAAAAATATTGAATGTATTTTTACTATTCATTATTTTTCTTGTTTTGAATAACTTTGCAATCTGTCCAGAAAATTCCAATTACACATACAATAAATACATTTAGATGGCAGCATAATGCGTTTTTTAAGATTTGGAAGACATTTTGAGACATATTTATTTACAGAAAAAACAATTCTGTCCTGTATTTAAGGCCAATATCACCGGTACACAAAATAAAATAATCATTACTGTTAGCACCCATAAACTAGTGTATAACTTTAAGGTGTCCTGGCAGATACTTTTACTTAGGCTGAAGAAATACTCAACTGCAAGTTCACATTCTTCATTCAGACAGCAAATGTGTCTGCCAACCCTTCCTGTATTGCTAATTAATTAACCCTTCCTGTATTGCTAATTAATGCCTAAGGGAAACAAGCATTCTACCAGTATTGTGGGTGTCTTGGCACAACATTTATTAGTATTCATTGTCCACACAATTAAAGTTATTAACAGGTATGGTTGGTAATGGTTGGTAATGGTTATTGCTCTTGCTTGCAATTCAGTATTGATTATATTTCTTCAATAATAAGCTCTATTGGTTGTGTGGAACATGTTACCAATTATATTTTGGCAGCATTCCGTCTTTTTAAAGGTCAGCTTATTATAAATCTCTAAACCCCTTATCTGAAATCTGCTGGACTTGTTTTATTATTGCTATGACTCTTCAATATACCAAATTATATTGCTTATGAAAACAAAAGTTGCTTGCATGAATGAGAGTTTGGTTTATTCTTAAATTTATTTTTTAAAAATGTTTTCCCTTTATAGGCTTGACCCAGAGCAGCAGTTTGGATGTAATTCCTTCCAAAGAGATGGATCATGGGTATACTTCTAATTCAAGTAATTTTGAAGACTTGGGAAGAAATAGTTTGGGTGACCTATTTTCTCCACTTCGAGATGGTATGTTGATGCTGAAATTAAACTATGTTTTCTGGTAAGAACTCTGCTTATTGCATTAGGACTCTTGCTATATTATTGGCTCTTATGGTTAGAATGTTAGTCAGTCTGTAGCCATATATATTAGGTGGACCCAAGGTTGACTTGAAGAATGCTCATCAATTATTTCTTATCAAACTGGAGGGAGATCCTAAATGGATCTTTTTTTTCTTCGATACTTTTTATCAATGATTTGGATGAAGAAATGGAGTGAATGTTTATTACATTTATAAATGATACAAACTTGATGGAATAGCTCATAATTTAGAAAACAGAATTTCTCTGTAAAATTAGATTAAAAGTGGACTACTGTTTTTTTCTTCTTATACTATCGATATCTATTTATCTGTTCTAGATATTGTGGCTTGTAAAGCAAATGAAGACGTTCCAGGAAAGAATGATGGTAAGCACCTTTTATAACACACTTTCTGTTTTATTAATGGTAGTAGCAGTATTATACCAGAAATCTAGAAGTAACAGTAAAAAACCATTTCAAAAGACTTTCGACTATGTATCAAGAAAGTTTTTAATTAAGCAATGCAAATATATGATCTTTTGCTTTGCATTATAGGTTTGGATTTTCAGTCTTATCTTTTAAGCATGGATTTTCTCTCTCAGTTTAATACTGCTTTACCTGCAAGAAAAAATCCAGCAGGATCAAATCCACATATTGTTCATTCAAGTCCATTTAATATATTTGCTGGATCCCCCATTAAAGAGGAAAATGAGCATCCAGATATTGATGCTAAAAAAACAAATCATGGAAAACAAGAATCCAATGAGCACATCAAACAGGTATAGTGTGATTATAGTTTTGCCTTTTATTTTGCTTTCAACTTCTTCCCTTTGCATAAAACATAAAAGCTGTTACTTCTTCCGTCATACAATCTTACAGGAATGACCTTTAAGATTGTCATCTGCATCAGTTTTGTAACAAGATAGATTTGGAACACTGTGACTATATGCACGTTTTTCTTCTGTTCATTTTGGAACTATCAGCTGTTATTATTATTATTGGGTCCTAGAAGGAAAGGAATGATGAAGGCTACCCATAGGTTGGACCTTGTTTTCTTGAATGATTCTAACATGCCAGAATTATGGTACTTGCTTATTTGATAGTTTGAGACTTTGTCCCAGTATGAGAGTTTATCAGTACAGTGGTTTATCAAGTGATAAAAACGGGATGGGTGCTGCTTTGTAAGTCGGCAACTCGATCCTTGTTTTCACCTCCATATTTATTCATTTATCAAATTTGTATGCTGCCCATCTCACCTAAGTGAATCTGGGCAGTTTACAAAAAAAAACATCATAAAACAATATAAAAATGTGACTTAAAAAGAACAGTTAAAAACAGACTTAAAATTAGATGCTATAGGACAGAGCTGACAAACTCATGTCATCATGGCAGCATCACGTGACATAGCAGGACTTTTCCCCCGCTTTGCTACACGGCCTGGCCAGATGCATCTGGCTGGTGGGCTGCAAGTTTGACAGCCCTGCTATAGATGCTACTGTATACAAAACCTGATATTACATGGACAAGTTATGGATTAAAACCCAAAAGCCTTGTGTACGTCCTCTTGAAAGTTTTAATAAGCAGATCAGATATGCTTATTGCATTTGAGGAAAGAAGAGCTGCCAGGGATTTGGATCTCTAGGATTTGCATCCTAGTATGTGGTAAATAGCATTCAAATAAGCGAGAAGTTATGTTTCAACAGTCATGCTGGTAGCAAAAATAACCACTTATTGCACTTTGATAGGTCTCTCCTGTCCTTTTTTTATATTGTTATGGGATTTTAATACATGTTTTTTCTGTTCCCTCCTACTGTAGTTGAACTCGAGCTCTGAGTCTTCAGCTCTGAATACTCCACCTGTTGCCAATTTAATCAAGAGTCCTGATTCCAGAGAAAGACTTATTAAGAATATCCAGACACAACTTTTATATGAATCACCAATTAATGGTACTACCTCGACAAGTATGTGTAACTTTTGTGGTATAATACTCAAGATATGATTAGTTTCTTCAAATTTGATTAGTATTCTTTAAGATTTTATCCTTAATAGTTTGGTCATAAGCTTGCTCTAAATTTGTACACTGAGTGAGGAATTATTAATAACTCTTCCTTATTTTGCATTATAGACGATGATGAGAAATGACATGGTAAGAGTAGATATAGATGTCTTTTCAATATGCTAGCTTGCAGGCTGCTTCCCTTCTTTTTATTCCTGTACAGTTGAAATGCTCACACTTCTTGGTTATTTTGCATAGGTCCAAAGATAACCTCCAATATTACTTCTGGAGTTGCTAGTACACTATCTGAGAAAATAGTAGATACTATTGGAAACAGCCGATTGAATGCACCTTTATCGTCAATACAAATTCATTTCATTCAGAATATGATACAAGAAACTCTGGATGATTTCAGGTAAAGAGAATTAGATTCATATGTTACTTTACCATGTTGTTCTAACCATTTATTTTTCATGAACTTTACCACTTAGTATATGTTAGTATGTAAAATATTTCAAAACTGAACCATTGTGATTTTGGTGTGCCCTGATTCAGGAGTGAAACAGGTTTCTTAAAAACATGAAATGGTTGCCTTAATAATATTTTGTCAGTCTTGAAACAACTGCTAATGTCATTTTCATATCATTACCTACCTTCATATAACTATTACAGGCTGTCATGCATGAAATTCCCTGCTCATTCATCAGTAGTTATCTTCTCTCCAATCCGCTTAGCAGAAAATACCTCAGGTTCTGAAGAAAATGAAAACTGCTAAATATACAGTACTAGTTCTCAAGAGGAACTTGAAGACCTTGGGGGTGCGATTTTTGTGTCAGTCTTGTAATTACTGGGTTGATTCCGTAAAAATCTCCCCCCCCCCCCCAAAAAAAAAATAAATAAATGCAGGAGACCCATATAGTGGTGATGAATCTGGAAAATGTTTATAGCATAACTGGAGAAATCATGTTTTTAGATGTTATTGGACTTTAATGTTTAGAAGCCAGGGCCAAGATGGCCAATGATCAGGAGAACTCTTGTGGAGCAGTATGGTGAGGTGGGTGGCACTTTAGATTTTCTACTATTGAATCTGCTCAGGCTCTACAGTATTTTATTCATAGAATTCTAGAAAACTATTACAAATACTATAAATATTAAAGTTCAATAGGTTTATATTGCATTGTTTATCTAAAGCACTGCAGATATTCCTTTAATCATAGGTCTTCCTCTATGATTGGTAGTAACATTCCTTAACTATAGTATATTAGTTGCTTCTTTAATGTTTTATGTTCCTCTATCTGGATCCATATTTTTTAGAAGCTTGCCAAGATAACAAAAGTAAATATTGACATATCAAAGTACAACCAACTCTTTTTGTGTTACATATTGAACATTGCCTCACCTGGAAGTTGCTTGTAGAAACTAGATGCATAAAATATTTTTTCTTTTATTTGATAAATATTAAATAATATTATTTAAATAATATTATTTAAATTTTTATTTAAAATATATTTTAAATAATCTAATATACTAGAATGCTACTATATAGTGGTGAAGTTTAGCAGGCAAATGAGTGATAATTTCTTTCTGTTGGTCATAGAACAGCATTATGCTCTGTAACAATCAGACTGAAGAATCCCTTGTCAGATTATGCATTCATTGATGGCTTTACTGTATAAAGTATTCAAGTGCAGTGCAAACAAGTAACCAGTGCAACAAAAATTTAGAAGACTACCCTCTTGTATTTTTTTAATAAAAGACGTAGTCCTGTGGAAAATTATTGAGAATGAAAATAAATGTTTTCTATTTGTACTTATTTCAATTCATATCTAAAATATAGCAAATATTTTAGGCAGTTTTTTAGGCAGTATATTTTACCAAGTGTTTGAAAATAATTATCTAAATTTTTGGTAAGGCTTCTATTTCCAATGTTTTTCAAGATAAATACAAAATAGACTCTTTTAGTGCATTGGTACTGGTACTGAGTATTCACGTACTATAGGAAAATTACACACTTTTGAATCTATGAGAATCTCCTAATTTAGGGGATTATTTAATACTTGTAATCAAATAGGGCATATGGGGGGAGAGAAACAGCCTGAGACACTGAAACAGTGTGAACAGCATGTTTCCTAAGAAGAAAGAATCAAAACAGTCAATTTCATAGTTTCCAGTTTAGGATTCAGCGAACTGTATTGTGCATATATACACATGTATGCATGCTCACACACACAAACTGATGCATAGCTTGTGCCTTCAACAAAACATACAATTTCTTACTTGTCATATTATGTCACAAATTATATTTATCCTGTTGTATTTTGTAGAAGTATTCACAGAATTATACAATTTTGCAGAATTTCCCACAGAAGAGTTTTCCACCATGAGAGTTTTGCACACTTCTGTTTATTAAAATAAACAGATATTTTTCTCTGTATTCCATTTACCAGAGTAATAGAAGCCTGATGCATTAGCTGTCATATTGGGTACTTGACACTGGAAATGCAGTAAGATGAAGAGAAACGGTCTCTTTCCTAATAGCCTTTTATTTCTAGTAGGTTCCATCAAAGAAATGCATTAACATTGAAGTGAGGGGATATAGTGGGATGATAGTTTATCATTTTGAAATTACCTCTGTAGTAGTAAATCTCTGAGTTGGAGAAAAAAAACGACTAGACTTGTGACATAAATTGGTGTTTTTCTCTCCTCAGGGAAGCTTGTCATCGTGACATTGTAAATTTGCAAGTAGAAATGATCAAACAGTTTCATGTTCAGTTGGTATGTATACAAATATAAAGAGGTGTCCATATATGTTGACAAACTTCCCTTTCATTGCAGCACTTAATATTTTATTATTCTAAATCTGGGGCACGCAGATGTTTTAAAATGCAATTCCATAATCCTTTACTGTGGAGCCAAATAGTAGAAAACTTTTCAGCAACCTGAAAGGGGAGGTTGGAGCCAGGACAAAAATGGTCCAAGATCGTTGGGTTTAGCAATGGTCATTTCCAGATTATTGGTTTACTTAAAAAGTAAAGAATGTGACAACATTTTGGTTGTTTTTGATTGTTTGTGACAACTACAAAGTCTACCTTTCTGTTAAAAAAAAACCGAAGGTGCTTTTTAATTGTTGCTATTGAAATTTCATATTTAACAGTAATTTAATATTCATTATTCTATTACATATTGATTTTCTTTTCTTTTCTCTAGAATGAAATGCATGCCTTACTTGAAAGATATTCTATAAATGACAGTTTAATAGCCGAAATTGAAAGATTGCGTGAAGAAAATAAAAGACTTCAAACCCACTTCTGACAGATTCCTATTCATGTGAAGAAAATAATTTGATATTTTTGTTCCAAGTGGCTAAGACATCATGATGTCATCTGATAATTTCTGAAGGAGTGTAAATTCAATATTTCTTACAGTACCAAATATTTTTAATTGTAGAAAAGCAAAAGAAAATGCACTTACATTTGTATCAAAGCGTTTCTATGATAAAGAAGCTAGATTAAAATTGAGGCTAACAGGATTATTAACCAGTTCCCTATCTGTATATAAAGTGCCTTTATAAAAAAGGGAACTAAATAGGAAATGTATTTTGTATAACAATTCATCAACCTTCTTTGCCTTGTGGTATTGGTGGAGCTCTCTCCTTTTAGACTGAAAAAAATGTAAGTGCCTGACTTGATTTTTATATTGTACATGCTCTTTAAAAGCTCGTATCTTTCCTACAATGGTTACTTTATAAGTATAGAATACAACTCTAATATGTAACTCAATTGTAAACAAAATACCCTCAGCTTTTCTATATAATTTGAAAATACAGTTGAATAAACAATATGTGTAGTCTTGTGTAAACATACTTGACCCAATAGTATTACTATACTAAAACCAGCAATTTCTTAGTCTGTTCTTTCAGTATAGTTTTATTGATTTCTAGTACAGAAGTCAGTTATTTCAGTTTGACTTTGGTATTTGTTAGATTTTTATTATTAAAGTTGTATAATTGAATGGGCTTAATGTAATTTAAACTGCAAAACAAAATAACTAAATTATTCAGCTACCCAATGGGTTAAATATATGTCCTGGATCTTCCTGTCACAATTTATTTTTTAAAAGAACGCAATTTCCATGATAGAAACTTGTGCCTCTGATGTAAATGAAGAAAATGTTTTCTGATAGCCCAGTTGGTATATTTTTAAAAACTTGTACCAAGTTGATACAATTCAGTAAAATGGTTAGTTTATCCATTATAATATACATTTTATTGAGATTATCATAATATAAAATACAAATGAAAATAAAGATGATAGAGATATGGAGAAGGAAAAGAAAGGTGTGGGATAATAGGGAAGAGAGAAAAAAGTATTCCAACTTTTTTTCTGATCAGTAAAGTAAAAAAAAAAAAGGTTGATTATCCATGAAGAATGTGTACATGGTGATAAGGTCCATTCCAGAATAAAAACAGGGTACCTTTGAAAGTGGCAGACTCTTACTTATTACAGCTTTGTAAAACCAAATTGGCCTGCTTTAGGTTGCTGTAGTAATGGATTTTACCCATCAACAAGGAGTTTGGACTATATTTTCATATGATTGTGTCATATTGTCAGGTACTACAGTAAATTCCACAAAATGTAAAGAGATTTCAATATTTTGATAATATGAATAATGCAACCTGAATTTACTTTTCCACGTGTCACTTAGTTGGTAACAAGCTCTCATAGCTATAAGTACAGTAAACTGATTTTAGGAAGGAAAGTTATGATTTCCAGAATTGTGTGTGTCCTGCATTTAATATAAACAGCTCCATTAAAGCCCTTTGTTTTCCTATTCACACCACAAATCAGAAGAATTACAGTATTCAGAAATGAATAATATGCAGCCGTTCTATATACTTTCCATAGGAAACTTGTAGTAGATGGATATTCTAACCCTGAAATTGACAATGAATCTAGGAATTACTGTGAAAGGTAGTGTGTTTAAGGACATGAATCAGTTTTAGTTTCGTATGCAGGTAAGGCATATTATTTTGGCAGAAGATATACTTGTAAAATATGTCAAAACTTTGTGCTTGTCTTCCTTCTTATATATTTTTTCCAATATCTAAAGCATTTGATAATTTCAGATACAGAATTTGTATGCCATGTTACTTTCTTTTATATTCTGCAGAGTCAAAATCATGAAATTGTTCACAGTGTTTAAAAATGTAGAACTATGAAATGTTTTTCATACAGCGTATAACCTATTCAATGCTTTTTATACATCTGACTTAAAGATCTGACTGTTTTCTGTTCCCAGTAATCTGGCATGGAAGGTGCTTGTCGTTCATGCTTATAATCATTTACAGAAAACTGCAACCATATTAGATTCTTTTGTAAACCTGTCCTATATAGAAATGCTTCCAAGATTCTCTCCAAGATTCTATGCAGAAGAAAGTTGAAATGTTAAAATGTAATGTATATTTAAAAACCATACTGTCAAAAAGTAAAAGAAAACCTTCAGCTAAGTATTGTTATGGAAGATCTGTGCTAGAATCCTGCTTTTGAACACTTGTAAGATAGCCAGGATTTTAAAAATAAGACATGGTGACAAGTAATACATAAGGTATATTGTTGGGAATGCTGGCTTTAGTGAATGGAAACCAGAATGGCAGCATTGTGAGTTCTTAATTTACTGATCCAGTTTCCCACTGTGAAATCCACAGGTTTCTGTTCTGAGTCAATTTTGGCATGCTGTTCCATTTTTCAGATTAATATGCTTTCTTTGTTCAGTTACTAAACACAGAAAGTGTTGTGTGGCATCATAAAATAAATATAATCCAATTAACTTATAAAATATGTTAAATATTGTCCTTTTATTGATATCACAGTTATATAGTTGCTACCATTATGTTGTTTGTTATAATCACATGATTTTATTGTACATAGAGTATTTCTCTGAGGGTCATAGGTGGCTCAGAAATGTGAAAAATAAATAAAATGAAATTCAAGGCAGAAACCATTCATATGTTCATTTAATATGATGAGAAAAAAATAAGTGGACTTTATTTCCCTTTTTAGAGAGGAAAGATATTCACATAGATAAAATTAAATAGTATTTTTGAGATGGGAATATATTAATAGGTAATGCTTAAATCCTGTTGAAAAAAAAAGCATTAAATGGACAACATCATATATAGATAGCAATTATGCTTTCATTAAGGTAATATGTTAAATTGAACTGTAACACCGGGATTTAAATGTAATAAAAACCAATACTAGCATACATGATATCCAAGAAATTACAATATTGACTAGTTTGGATTATGTCATTTCTATAATTAATGATAGTTGTTTAATCCCTGTGCTTGTATTTAATTGGAATTCAAAATCATTTTCATATAACCACAACAGTAGTTTTAAATTATTACAATGATTTTCCCTTGTGATTTTCTACTTAACTCATAACCTAATTCTAAGTGTATGGAGTTACTCTTGTTACAGCTCAATGGTTGCTGTTTCCATTTTGATTCATACTTTTGATAAAGTCTAGGGAGTGTCTCTTGCACACATATACACTCAGACTGAGTTCACACCTTACTTAATTGTATTCTATTGAAAACTGGGCTTTACATCATACTAAATCCAAACCAACCATAGTATGTTTCAGTGCAATGTACCAACTATGGTTCTCTTTTCACACTTCCTCTTATATATGCTCCTAAATTAATGCCACTGTTTCCATTGTGACATGTCATTCAGAAAGGAAGACTCAATGGAGTGATTGATGAAATAAGCAGATTCTTTTTTGTTCTGGAGTATTATGTGGATCTGAAGTGGATTATGTGGATCTAAAACTTTTTCCAACAGCCATGCTTTTCTTTTGGGGTATTCTGCTTATTTTTACAGCACTGAAATGAAAGCCTCTGCTTTCTGATGTATATTTTGTTGCCATAGAAACAATGATCTCAGTGGCAGGGATATCACTAATCTCTGCTGTGAAAACAAAACATAACAATTGCTTAATATAGAATGCTTTGAAAGCTTGGGGCAGGTTGGGCAAGTGAAAGAATCTAATCAAAATATCCCTTGTTGCAAGAACAATGAATAATGTGACTGGTGTTGCTGTTTCACCCCTTAAGACTTAAAAAGTTTAGGAACCCTTAAGGCCACATATTTCTAATGAAGGCAAAAAAAATGCAGTTTAGTCAGTAATGCTCTGCATTCTTACGTGACCGTAAGGTCTGCTGAATTTGGTGGGATTTAATTCTGAATAGATGTGTATATAATTACATTCTAAATTGGTCTGTGTAAAACAATTTATTTTATTACTTTTCTTTTTTAATCCACCTTTTAATATACACCATTTTTACTGCTTTGATACAGGTAGCTCAATGCAATATTTAAGAAAGATCTATACAGAAAATAATGTTGGTTTTGTTGGTAACATGCATTTTGTTTCTTATTCTTGCATTCACTTATTATGAGGCAAAATTATTTTTTCCCCCAAACGGTTGCTAATTGGGGGCTATTGGAGCAAAATTTCGGGTATAAAATGACAAATTATTGAGATAGGAATACAGGGGGAAACAATGTGTTTTTCAGTAGACAAAAGCTTACCTGTTTCTTCTAAACCATTTTCTTTCTTAAAAATAGATATTCATAGAGGTTCTGTTAATCTCTTCCCTTGATGCTTGTGTCACAAGCAAATTAAGTGTAAAATGGGCTTCTATAAGGATGGCAATGCCTGTATTCTGGAATCATCTAAATAAGCTCACAAAGACTTGGATATTTTTGTCAGTCACATATGAGAAGTGGTTAGTAGGCAACTCCTGCATGGAGATTACTGCTAATGTGATGAGTAATTTTCTTTTGTGGATTTACAACTCAGTAATATTTCAAGGAAAGAAATGTACTGTATTATTTTTTGAGTATCCTTTAAAATTTAATTAAAATGTCTATATAGGCCCATCTCCAAATACTTAACTTCATCTAAATTCTGAACTAATTCTACAAATAAATTATAAAATAACTGATACAAGATGACTTGTACACAGTCATGACAGAAAAAGTAAAACACTAAAAATGGAGATTAAACCAACTGATCTTCATTTAAGATGGTCAGGTATAAAGTTTTGCAAGCAAAACCAACTATCATAGGAAATTAATTTTGGGGTCTTGGTCAGACAAAAGACAAAATTCATGTGATTGCTGAAGAAAATGAATAAATATAGTGCAGTGATAAATCAATACGTTCAGTTAGTATAGCTTAATATTCTGGGTCTGCCTTCTATGCCTGCTTGAGAGTAACATATTGGGCAATAGCATAAAGTCTGTCATATTCAATAAGCTGATCAAGATATACATTTGACTTCAAACTAACTTTAGTGTGGATTAACATTATTTTGAGTATTTTCTGAAGTATATGATGATAGAGGGCTTTTATACCTCTCTGACTTTGGAATATCACCTGTACTGTTATTTAAAATGGACCACTTGCTTGGTCTTGCTCACTGATGCTCCAGACCAGTGGTCTCCAACCTTGGCAATTTTAAGACTTGTGGACTTCAACTCCTAGAGTCCCTCAGCCAGCAAAGGGACTCTGGGAGTTGAAATCTACAAGTCTTAAAGTTGCCAAGGTTGGAGACTCCTGCTCCAGACTACATTTGTAGGTTTTTTTTAAAAAAAATAATGAAGGCTAGGATCTGAGTTTTATTAAAAATAAAAAGACAAATCCTCCCACTTGGTAATTCCATGGATATATAATTTTATTTGTATCATTCTGGAAGTGGCCACTGTATTCTGGGATGTCTTTTGACCTCCTAATCTACTCCATAAACCTTGGATTTCCTGAATACCAAGAGAAAAGAATATTGGTAGTTCAGAATTGAAGGGTGGGGTCCTTGGTGCTCTCTGATTTTTTCTTGCAGCATTTCATTATCAAAGTAAGTAACATCAGTTCTTGAATAATAAACCGGCCCTGCTTAGATTTTTCAGTTATTGGTACAATTTCATCAAGTGGTTCGTATAAAAGAAAATCTAAACTAAAACTTTTCTTAACCCTATAACAATTGCTTTGTGCTCGCTTCCTGGTTTAGAGGGATAGTACTTTGCTTTGTCTAAAAGATACATTTCAGAATTTATATACTACTGAAACTCATAGTGTTTACCTGTCTGTCTGTACAGAGTTAGCCCAAACGCTGCATTATTCCACAATGATGTTTGAATCAAGGTATCTAAAATCTGCTAACTTAAAAAAAATATTTGGGACCCATTACACCTGTGCAATTGAAATTTTCACAATGTTCAGGTCAGATTTATCGGCAAAGTTGTGGCAGTTGTAGCATCCCTGGGGTGATATGTGATTTCCTACACTCCTACTGGTATTGCTTTTTTGCCCACCTGTGGTCTTTCTGTATATCTGCCTGGGTAAACAAATACTGATTTCTTAGTGAAGTTCACAAAGCACTGATTATTTTTCTGTTTATGATATATATTCTTAGATGATCATGGGACTGTCCAGTAAAAAAGGTCAGCCTAAAATGTAATATTTATTTCTAATCACAGAAAGACTGCACTATCTTTCAAAGAAGACCCAATGTGCCACAGAGTTGTCTATAGTTTATTCTAAAAATTAAATAGTAGTGGGCAAAGATAGATTGTGGCTTTCTATCCTTCCCAAGTAGGCCTATTTCTGATGTTCTAGTAAATGTAACTGGGAAGGTCGTAGATTTCTCCATAAAGAATGTCAGAATACTGGTTGATACCTGTTCTGTATGTAGGGCTCATTCAGATGTTGCAGTATATTTTTGCAATATATTTTTCTGAGATGTTAGGACTTGGTCCACTATAAAAAGGCTGGCTATAAAACCTTCCTTTTGTTTTCTGCTATATTCTCCAAGTCCAATAATTTGTCCAATAATTTCCAGTATAAATACCTGGCATAGATTTGCTGGTATTGCTTAATGTTAAAACAGAACATTTGACTCTGTGTTTGTGTGTGTGTGAAAAGTTTGTAGCTTCCAACATCATTAATGTGTATATATTGTTAACTACCATGAGGTGGCACTCTGACTTCACTTAATTCTGTTTTTAGAATCTCTGCATTTAGAGGAAGAGTGGTCATGTTACTTTAGGAACAGGTATACGGTTTGTGTCCAGAGCTATAGAATGAGATTAAATATAATTCCAGCAAATAACAGATGGTTATATAAACAGTAGTTAGAAATAAACCAATGCAACAAAAAGCAAAAAAATATTTTTACATACCTCACAATTGCCTAAGTATTTGAAAGTTTCTGGAGTAAACAGGCCAAAAAACTATAAGAAAACTGCTCACTTGAAACCTAGCTACTAAGGAAGCAACATCATTGCATGGGTATTCTGTGCTATAAAGCTCCTGATAAACCAAAGGCACATTTTTTTATCTTTGATCCATGGATTTATTACTCTGCATATGAAAACTTTGGTTTGTGTAGGATTGATAGGATGAAGTCTGGCAATGGGAATTCTCACTCTGCCATTCAGAAAGTACAATTTTTACTCTTTTTAAAAAAGCTTCAATCCAAAGATACAAGTTCCATATACCTCATGTTTTAAAAAACTAGCTGGAATGCCTCTGAGAATAATGGTGTGAGATAGAATATCATCATTTACAAGATCATTTAAAAAAGATTTCAAACAGTGATTTGAGTATTTTATTTGGGAAAATGCCACTGTGGAAGGACCATATCTCATGAAAAAGTGTTACCTCAGATGAATATTCGGATTCAGTTCCACAGCTAGTCTGGGAGAAAAAAAATCTTGCCTGGGATCTTGGACTGTTACTGTCGGTGTGTCAGTCACAGTCTGTATGGTCCTATGAGCTAATTCTATTCAAGCAGCTTCTTGTGTTTGCAGGAAAATGGCTTTTGCAGTGTCCAAGACTGATTCCTTATATAGCCAATATCACACAATTCACACATAAACGCAAGTATTTTCAGGCTTAGACAACCACAAATTTACAAAAGGGTAATCTGGATTAGAACACTGGAAAAGGCCAAAGAGAATTTCATGCTCATTTGATGTTAGGATATTGGCTCATTGCTGAGAGAGTGAAGGAGATGATAAGTGGTGAAGTTATAGGATGCCCAGAAATCCTGGGAAATAACATGATTGGCATTGAATATACCATATTCATGCTAACCAATATGTTATTTCCCAGGATTTCTTGGAAAGGCAGCTGTTTCTGGCATAACTTTAAAATAGTTTGTTTATACATTCAGAAGAAAACAAGTATTGCTGATTGGGCTCATACATTGTCTTCTCTGCCCTGCCTCTCTGGAGACTGCAGCCAATACCAGGTTACCAGATACCTGTTACCTGAAATTATTAGCTCTAGACTGAAATCTTTGCTGCCAGATTCTTCCTATCATTAAATATCATTCACTGTTATCTGTGAGGTGAGCATGAGCGTGTATATGACAAAAAGGTTGAGAAAAGCTAAAAACTATGCTTCTGACCATGAGAAAGAAAAGTGACATGTTTCTCACCATTTGAGCAATTCTTTATTAAATGAGATGCTGCTGTCACCTGTGATATCTTCAAAAAATGGAACAAATGTGTATCACTGCCATTGGGAACTACTGAAAGAGGAGCAAGAGTCCTGATGCCATGACTAAAAGGATGACAAATAGTTTCTTTTGAAAAGTTGTTACACTATAGAAGCATTCACTTCCGAATTACAGTCCTAAAAGTAAAGTTTGAGGGACTGTTTTTAAAATACAGAGTCATGTCTTACATTTGTAGTGATTTCAGTT